ACTGAGCCACAGCCCCAGGCCCCTTAGTTACTTTCTTGTATGTGCTTCCAGTATTATACAAACACAGTGAAATGGGAATACATACTCTTTTATCATATTTTCTCATACAGGAGAATACATCCTCATACACTGCTGTATATCTTGGGTTTTTTCGGTTAAGACTATCTTCTGAGCCTGGCATGGATGTGTGCCTGTAATTGCAGCACTCAGGAGGCTGAGGCAGGGAGATCGCTGTAAGTTCAAGGCCAACCTGGGCTACATAGTGAGTTCAAGACCAGCCTGAACTACACAGGGAGACCCTTCCCGCCCAAAACCAAAACAAAACCCTGTATCCATATACTGGAAAATTTTCCTTTTAGGTGAAGTTTCCTAATCCCTTTTAAAAATATGCACATTGCTGCAGTGTCTGAATTTGCCGTGGTTTATCCAGATTGCTGGAATTGGAGACTTGATTTATTTCCAATGTGTTGAGCACATTCAGCTGGAGTTCTGCAAATCGAATCCATTTCCTTCCTCAGCTCCCAGGCGCAACCTACGCCTCCATGAGGACCTCAGCCTGTTCCGCCCGAGGATGACAGACACCTTCTGTCGCCTGGGGAGAGGAGGCGTCGTCATCTGCTGGGCCTAGAAGCCCCCCTCGGCCGCCGTGCGGGGCTTCTGTGTGCAGACCAGCATCCTCACCGGCCGGGAAGGGGCAGGAGGGCGCTGGGGACATGAGGAGGTCGTGGGAGCAGCAGGAAGCCGCAGAGGCCGCCTCGGCTGTGGCGGGCCCCCGGGAGACTTGAGACGCTGTCCCCGGGCTGGGTGTCACCCCCGCCGGCCTGGGCTGTGGCCACAACGGCTGATGACCCTGCCGACCAGCCCTCACCCTCGCAGTGCTTGGAACAGCCCCCGGCGGGCAGGCGCAGAGGTCCGGATGTGGCCTGCGTGTCCCCAGGAGGTCACACTCTGGAGGATGCGTCTTCACTGTGGCCTGGGGCCACCGGTGGGGCGAGAGGAAGATGACTCACAGCCGGGAGCCCGCCCCCACGGTGCTCCACCGCACCTCCCTGTGCCCCACGAGGGCCCCCGGCTCCGCGCCGCCCGCCCCGTTGGACCGCTGGCCTCGCAGGGCCGCTGGTGTGGCCGCGGGCGCTGTGGCCCGGACGGGTCGGCTCCACAGGCTCTGCCGTGTGCAGGACCAGCGCAGCGGCCTAAGAAAACGGACTAAGACCCCAACCCAAGACCCCGCCGGCGCATCCACCCGCAGCTCTCCCGGCCGGGGAGCAGGGCGGCCTTCCTCCCCCCCTCCCCGCTCCTCCGTCCTCGTCCTCCTTCCCCCGCCGCGCTGGGCTCGAGCCAGGGCCTTCACCCTGCGCTGCAGCTCCAGCTGCTTCTGACTTCCTCCTACACTCTTGGCCACAGCAAGGCCCGGGAGCCCCAGCCCGGAAGCCCCGCATCTTAAGGTCTAGGGCTGAGCTCCTGCTGCCGGGGCCCCACACAGGGTGCCCTGAGATCAGGGATCCGCAACCCCTGACGGGGACAGGCGGGAGCCCAAGCTCTGGAGGGCCAGAGGCAGCTGGTGGTGACCGTCAATTCCTACGGATCCGGGGTTTTTGTAAAAGCACACACAGGTACTAAACTTTGTGAAGTACCCTTGTCGCAAATGTATGGTCATCAGAATTTTTCTACTTCAAGCCGGGCTTGGTGGCATACCTGGGTAATGCCAGCACTAGGGA